TACGTTTACTTTTTAGCTGTTGCTTATCATTTTTGTATCTCTACTGAGATCCAGCCATTGTTTCCCACAGCATTGTTGTTTTCCAGTATTTTGCCTTTTAATCTATATATATATATATATATATACATTCATTTTAACATGCTTCAAAGAAGCGGAATATTTTACGATCTAATGTTGAATAAAATCTCACTTACCGGCTATGTTATCATGGACCCATTGCAGGGCTAATGTTTGATCCTTAAATCCCATGTTACCGGAAACAACGTCATCACCTGTCATCAACAAAGAAAACTTTTACAGGTTTTATGTTGTCAAAATAATAAAATATTGTGAAATATAACAACTAACTAGAACACTGCTCATACAATAAATTACCTACAATGAACCAATATATTGTTATTTCTTCCTGATTCTGGAACAAGAAGATGATAATATTGGATTGGATTTTATCGGTGTAAACACCAATTAACCTACGAAAGTCTGAAGAAAATTTATTTTCAGTGGGGTCCTTCTGGTGGTGATTGGGCAGTTCACCAGTACAATCTCCTACTCTTTTCCGAAAAGTGTACTGCGTTCTTTAACGTGCATGTGGGCCATAATGCGCATGGGACCAACGGCTTAACTTCTTATCCGAAAGACGATGCGTTATCTTTAACTTGCATTTCAGTCCTTCAGCTGAAATACAAGGAGAACAGATGGGAACTGAACCGGGGACCAAGATATTTTTACGGTTTAGCGCACAAACAGTGGCTACTTCCAGTTTAGCCGACTGAGCTAAGAAGTTTATATTTCTACGATGCTTAAGAATTCTACCGACGGGAATACAGTATTACATTACAGTATTACAGCATTATTTGTTTCATGATCGACCTGAATTAGATCCTTTCCTTGGGATATGATATAAAAAAATAAAGTTAGGTCTACCTATATTGTTTCGAAATAAACAATCCATCTTCGTTCAACGAATGAAAACATTTTGTTTTGTAGAAGTGTGCAATGAACGTAGCAGACATTAGAAATGAAAGTAAATAACATGATGACTGACAAATAAAAAATAAATAGATTTCTCATTAAATGATATGAATACCCAATTTCACATGATAGGGCTATACGTCTACTTGAATAACAAAGATCTATTTAAATATGTTAACAAATATACCTAGTTTGTTATTTTAATAAATATATAATTTAGAGAAAATAAGATAATACTCATCGTACGCTTATAATAGTGACAACCCACCTGTAGAGAAAAAGCCGAAGACGTTCAACCGGTAATTAATGTTAACAACTATGACATCACCGACGGCTACCATTGGTACTTGCGTCAAGTTACCAGATGTTCCAATACCAATTACAAACCCACCACCGTGTATGAAGACCATCACGGGAGCCTTCACTGGCTATATTTAATAGAAAAATAAATAATTTTAAAAAATGTAGTGGTAGTACTATACCTACTACTAGACCTCTACTACTAATAATTAAAATAATAATAATAATAATAATAATAATAATAATAATATTAATAACATATGCTTATGATAATAATCAGATAGTGCAATGTGTTTTGGCATTTGTATTTGATAAAATCATACTGTGGCAACAGTGTAAAATTAGCATAAAATAATTTACATGTACAGTATTCGGTATCAGTTTGCTTTATGATTCAATGTTTGTGTAAGACTTAACATTGCTGATAGGGTCAAAAACAGTTACGAAGCCCCGGTGACGGATATTACCTAATAAGGTAGGCCCAAATTATATTATACTAAGCTTACCTTGAGATTTGAAATAAAAGGGGGTGTGGCCAAGCGGCATTTTTTATTCGTAATCATTTCCAACATATTATGTATACAGTTCCAGCCAATTGGAATTTGTATCTTAATAATGCAACTGTACCAGGGTAGTCTAATAACTANNNNGATATATTTATCTATACATATATATATATATATATATATATATATATATATATATATATATAAATATATATATATATATATATTACCTAATGATATGCTGTATTTTAGAGTCGTCTACAGTACTAAATTTGTTTGAACACTGTAACCAATGCCGTAGCCAGCTATTGGGACAATTGGGACAGTCCCACACAATTTTTCTGATGGGTCCACAAAGAATGGGTCCAAATATTTTTTTTAATGGGTCCAAATTATGCTCTTTTTAAGCAAAACCAGTCCAGAAATCTCATATTTAGTCTAAAATGGGTAACTTTTTTTTTAAATGGGTCCAGATTTTTCATATTTTAGCGTATAATGTGTCAACTATTAAGAAAATGAGTCCACATTATTTAAATTTACGCGTAAAGTGGGTCCACTCTGATATTGTCCCGCACTGTTTGAAAATCCTGGCTACGGCATTGACTGTAACCACCGTGTACAATATGCACGTTTAGCTGGCAAGGAAAATAACATTACATCATGGCTTTATGACTTCTACTGTGGAGGTGCGTTGAGCGCCTAAACAAGGCAAATTAACCTTAAATCGAATGAGTGAGCAATATTAGGCCTAGGCATTTCGTTCGAACCAAATTGTAGCTCTTGTTCCAGAGTGCAGTTCACAAAATTTCATACATCATTTCGATGTGAAGTCTTCTGCCAAAGTACTTTTTTCATTAAAACTTATTACGATAAACCGTTAATAGAAGCTACAGTAAATTATAGTCGATATAATAAGTCGATAAATACCTCTACGACCCTTCCCCCCCCACCCCCCAAAAAAACTGAACCAGTCAATATAATATAACCTTAACTTAACGAACATTGCGGTAAAAATTCGATGATAGTTTTCGTAGATAATTTTTGAGGGCAGGTAACACCCAAAAATGAAATGCTTAAGATAACTTAAATTACTATGTTGCATTTAACATGGTAGGTCCTATACACGATTTTCCAACACTCCTTGTTCAAATGTTGCTATGAAATAGTTTTCGGCATTCATTCTTAAATCTCACCCTTGGATTTGGTGTGTACACGTCCAACTGGAGACAATCTTCGCTCAGGTCTTCGAAGATTGGTACCATATCAAATTTAGCTTGCAAGCATCCATGCTGTTGACCGGTAGCGTCGAACACACTATTCTCGTCCCACGATTTCGCTACAGGCGACATGAAGCGAAGTGGACCAACAGGCGGCTCAGCGTACGGAATGCTACGGTACACATCTACGGTCTTCTCTTCTTTAAAGTAATCGTCAGGTCCGATGGTTACCGATCTACCAAGAACATTACCAAACTTAGCTTGGACCATAGGTCGGGTCTCATTTGCCATACATTCTAAAACACAGACAATAAGTACAACTAGCAACACAACTCTACCCGCCATTGCGAACTGAATGTATAATATGGTGACCTTAAATTGACTATGTACATAGGAGGTTAACTGTGACATGACTCAGGTGTTTTGTATTCTCGAAGAACAGGCCTATCACTTGTAGATTTTCAAACAATGTTTTGAAAACATAATTGGGCCATAAAGGAAATGCAGTGCGGATACCCGGGAACATGCCGTCTTTGTTTCACTTTGGTTTAACGGACCTGCAGCTCCAATTTGAACTTCCCACTCCATTCAGAGGAAGATTTGGGGGGGGGGGGCCAGCTGCCCCACCCATTCTCTTGTGGAAAGTTAATAAAGAAAAAAAGAAAGAAAAATAAATAAAAAAACGCCTCAGAGTTTATTTTTCGGGCGTCTAGAATCCCCTGGGTAGTGTTGTCTCGATCGTCCCCCTGTCGAACATCTCTGGATCCGCCACTGCCATTACTGCAGTGCTACTCTCAGTATTTTTACAAATTAAAACAAGGCTTTGAAAATCATTGCTTCTTGAACCTGGTTGTGATCCAGGTATTATAGCAAATCTAACGAATAAGCACTTTGCTAGGATATGTTCCCACTCACCTGCATTTAGTTTACATCACTAAATTTACCCGTATTTCTTCACACAAGTTTTTAATTTTAAGCGATTGAAGGCAATAAAACATAACAAATTTTGCCATTCAAATGATTTACCTCTTCATTTTTGATTGAGGAATTTGCCTTTGAGTTTTAATGTCAGCCTCAAGAGCATATTTTCCCGACTATCTGGAAGAATTCCATAACCCCTGTTACTAAAAAGCCTGATGAACATCGGCCGATTTTATTACGCTTGTGTTTGGTAGATTTTTGGAAGTTTCTATCCGATTGGATTGCTAAGGATTTAAAAACCAACTTCGCTAGCATATGACAAAATAGGAAGACAAGAGTTGTAAATAGTTTAATAGCAACGGAACAATTACCGTCCCTAATATCTCTGCGAATTTCAAGCTTTATGTGCTTTTTGTTGCAAGTTTTTCATAGCGATAACAAATGAACCAAAAAAATAATACCTATGTAACTGTATTCCTTAACAATATCTATTTCATTTCATTTATTTCACCAATTCAAACAACACTATAAAAGGGAAAAAAGGACAAGACAATACCGTCGTGGCCGGTAAATTATATTTTAAATTTGTACCTTAAGTTTTTCTGTGTAACGTTATAAATGCTCCGATAGTTTTCAAAATTAACTATGGTAGCGATCTCCAAGCAATGGATTTCGACAAAATGAAATTCGATTAATTTCGACTTTAGCAAACAAGAATTTTAGATTTTTGAGTCTCCAGTTTAGCATTCGTCAAAGTGAATTGGATTTTTGGTGTGTTAATCTGGTACACTGGTGTACGGGTGCCACTAACTACATTTTGATACCCAGCACTCGGGGAAAATATATCCTGTAAAACCTATACATCTATGGTTGATATAAGTCAGTTGTTCAGAGATAGAATGATATAATTCGTTATTTATATTTTGTATTTGTATTCCATTTTGACTTTTTGTTATTTAAATAATAACACAACAGTGGGAAAAAGGAGAAAACGTCCGTTCCTCCTCTTTGAATATGCACCTAGCCTCAAGATGTTATAGTTGTTTCGGATAATAATTTTTCCTTTTTCGAATGCTTGTTATATTTATAATTATATTGAAAGCACCTCAGAGATATTCGTTATTTTTTCATATGCCAAAATACTTTAAGCATACAGAAATTTTTTAGCAACAGATGTAAGTAAGATGGGCTAGTAATTGAAGATGTTCAACTTACCAGCAATATGTAGGTAAAAATATCTTTCAATATTCTTATTCGTTCTTTAGACAGCTTTTAACTGTATTTCTCCCAAGTCGCTTGTTACATTAGAAACCGTGAAGTGCAGTTACGAAAAATATATTTTTCTATCATATCGTCTTTATAAGATTTCAATGAAATAAAGGATTTTACAAAAATTCACAATAAATGGATTACATTCAGTCAACTTTAATTACGGTAAATCAATTATTCAATAAAAAATGAAATTAGTAGATTATTATCAGTTGTTATTGCCTTTAGGTTTATAATTTGTTATATTTAAATTTAACATTCGTATCGGTCGAAAAACGATTAAGCTAAGCATAAGGTGAAAACAATATTAACTACTAATGGTAAGTGCTAAAAAAGAATTAAATTTAAACTAATTATTCACGATTTTTGTTGACTGTCATAGGCCTAAGTCTAATACACACACACAATGGTATGTGTAAACTCGTACGGTAGGCCTACGTTGCGTGTAGCACTTTTTAAATGCAATTGTAGTTCACTAGCACTGTGTGGTAAATGGAGAGTGGGTGGTTCGATGGTCCAATCTTTGGTGTTTACTGAAACCACGTAGTCACATTTTACATTTCTAAATCAAATTCTAGAATCTTTACCAACAAATGTGTAGGCCTAGTAATTAAAATGTTAATTTACTTATAGCGTTTAATTATTCATCACAATTTACGTATGTTAGGTTTAAGCTATCTGGGTGGTTCGATGGCCTAATCTTTGGTGTTTATTGAAACCACGTAGTCACATTTTACATTTCTAAATCAAATTCTAGAATCTTTACCAACAAATGTGCAGGCCTAGTAATTAAAATGTTAATTTACTTATAGAGTTTAATTATTCAACACAATTTACGTATGTTAGGTTTTTAAGCTACCTGGGTGGTTCGATGGCCTAATCTTTGGTGTTTTACTGAAACCACGTAATCACATTTTACATTTTTAAATCAAATTCTAGAATCTTTACCAACAAATGTGTAGGCCTAGTAATTAAAATGTTAATTTACTTATAGCGTTTAATTATTCATCACAATTTACGTATGTTAGGTTTAAGCTATCTGGGTGGTTCGATGGCCTAATCTTTGGTGTTTACTGAAACCACGTAGTCACATTTTACATTTCTAAGTCAAATTCTAGAATCTTTACCAACAAATGTGTAGGCCTAGTAATTAAAATGTTAATTTACTTATAGCGTTTAATTATTCATCACAATTTACGTATGTTAGGTTTAAGCTATCTGGGTGGTTCGATGGCCTAATCTTTGGTGTTTACTGAAACCACGTAGTCACATTTTACATTTCTAAATCAAATTCTAGAATCTTTACCAACAAATGTGTAGGCCTAGTAATTAAAATGTTAATTTACTTATAGAGTTTAATTATTCAACACAATTTACGTATGTTAGGTTTAAGCTATCTAGGTGGTTCGATGGCCTAATCTTTGGTGTTTTACTGAAACCACGTAATCACATTTTACATTTCTAAATCAAATTCTAGAATCTTTACCAACAAATTTGTAGGCCTAATAACCTAATTAAAATGTTGATTTTCTTATAGCGTTTAATTATTCATCACAATTTACCTAAGTTAGGTTTAAGCTATCTCAGCATTGTTTTAATAATCTGAGCAAGGTGGAATAAATCTCATCACACAGCTAAAATTTCTTCAGACAATTAACGAACAATCAGAATGTTGAAGTACTACCTGCAAAATATAAATACAATTAGGTCTATATTATTATAAATTATATGTAGTGCCTTTTCGAGATCCCCCAATTTTAAAGAATGAAAGAAATCAACTTCATTGTGGTCAAGTGGTTATGACGTTCGCTATGCATGCGAGAAGTCCCGGTGAAGAAGGTAATTTTTGTGTCTACTGCCCTCGGGCAGACACTTTGCTATCCTGGTCAATCCGGAAGCGTAAAGTTGACATTGGGAGCGTTGACATTAACAAAAGTGTAAAGTTGACATTATGTCACTTTCGTGATGTGTGATATGATGTGATTTTACTACTACCCGTAAACTCGGTCGTGTGTTTTACGATGCATTGCTAGCCAATTCGTCATTACTGTATCTATCAGCCGCACAGCGGTTCCGAAAGTTGGAAGTTAAAATTAAATCGAGTAGAAGTGGTTAACAGTTTTTTAATAACAAAATTATAGACGGTAACTGACAGTTCTCCTGCAAACGCATCTATTTATATAGCCTATAGCAATGGCTCTATTCATTTATTTCTTTTTGGTTATTTATACACATCTATATCATAGGCTAGTGGAAATATATTTATATTTACAACAATTACAAAGTCAGGGGAGGACATTTCCAAATACCTCACCCCCCCCCCCCCCCCCCCCCCCCCCCCCAAAAAAAAACCACAACAAAAAACAACAAAAACCATTATTAATAATACTATTATTTCATTAATCACTTTCGACATCACCGTTTCTATTAAATTTGGCAGTAGACACACGCTCCCGCTGGGAGCCTATTTTGATTTTCGTTGTCAGTTTCTTCTTCTGTAACGTCACAATTCTGCGAGCCTGTAAAAATAAGGTAGCCCAACCGTGGCGGAAACTTCTGCTATCTATGTAGATGACCTAACGAACTGAGCCACTCGGAAGCAATACTGTATTGATTTTCGTTATATGCAGTGTGTCGACTGCGCTGTTCTATCTCAATGTGCTAAGGAGTGTGAAACAACAGTTTATGTGGTACAATAATCTCTAAAAAAATTGTCTTGTGGTAATGCTTGAGACCGTAACATTGAAATCTGTTATACGAATTTCGTCGACAACTAACTTTGGTCCATCATGCATGTGCAAAAGAGTGAGAATAAAGGTACAGTTTAGAGTTTTATCTCTATATTGTACCATATAAAGTGCTGTTTCGCACTCCTTAGCACATGCAAAATTAAACAGCGCTAGTCTGTGACACATTGCATATAACAGAGATCAATATGTTGCGCCATCTTCTTAAGCATTATCACACGACTGTTTACTCTTTATTGTGTGTTTATTGTGTATATATAACACTATCAAGGACAGGCACATTTAGCCCATGAAACAAATCAATATGAAAAAAAGAAGTACAAATTAAACTACTAAAGAAAGCTGATTTGGAAAACTGCAAAAACTGGCGCGGTATAAAATTGCTGTCAGTTTCCAAAAAGATATTTTGCAGAATCACCATCACTCGCTTCGGAAAGAACAGGCTAGGTTGTGCAGAGGATCGAGGAAGCTGCATTCAGCAGATTTTATGATGTAAAGTACATTTCTTTTCTTTATAAGAACACATTTTATAAGAACACTGAGGCTGAAATTTTGTTTTAAATGAAGAACAAGGTAAGAACAAATTGAGTCTGAGGTAAAATGTCTAATGAGGCTTTTATTTATTTTTTTTTAAAATAGAAAACCAATAATCTATCTTTACCTTATTTGCAGTAGGTGTTACTATGTAATACCCTCTATATTCTATAATACAGTAAAATAAGACTGTAAAATAATAATTTTCTATGTTTGAGAAGTGTGTAAATATAAGGACAAAATAACATTTTGAGCCTGAAATGGGCCAAAAAATACAACAAGAACGCTGAGACTGAGAAAAATGTTACTGGTTCTTATTAAAAAAAAGGTCTATTATAGAACTTGAGTGCGAAGTAAAACAGTAATCTATTTATTAACTATGTGGACTTCAGAGAGAGTTTATGGAGAATAATGGGAATGTATGGAATAATTCACTGTTCCCTGGAATACCGGAGAAGATAGCATGGAATACCGGAGATGATAGTAAAGGTACGACAGCAGACGTATCATATATGTCTTAAAAAGAAATATGGGCATCAAAAAATTAAGCTTAAGGATTAAACTCCGCATTTACAAAAGCAAAGTGCTGTCTGCATTAATGTATGGGTCCGAATGTTGGAAAATGAATAAATGCGATGAACAGAGGTTGAACGTATTTCACAACAGATGCTTAAGCAAAATTATCTGCATATTTTGCCAAAACACTATTTCAAGTCGGAATTTATACCAAAAGACTGGAAGTACACAAACTATCTGGTATTATCAAAGCAAAAAGGTGGCAATGGATTGGCCATATACTGTACTCAGAAAGGATGGGTGACTGTCAAGTAGTTTTGAGTCACACACCGGTGGGAAAAAGGAGCGTTGGCAGACCTAAAAAAACACATAAGGACGTATGGTAGAGAAGGAGAGACGGGAATTTGGATGGAAAGCTGGGGGAGAAGCGGCACAGAAGGAAGCAGACAAGACGGGACGGCAGATATTTGTAAATAAGTTCTCGACACACTACATAACGGAGATCAATATATTATGTTGCGCCATCTTCTTAAGCATTACCCCAAGACTTGTTTTATCTCTTTATTGTAACACTATCAAGGACAGGTTTAATAGCTAACGGAACAAATCAACAGAAAACATTTAAAAACTGTATTTTTAGATGCTAGAAAAACCCGAAATTTTCGACTAAAATACAATTTAAAACAAAAATATTATATATTTTTGTTTCGATCGATTTTCTACTTCAGAAAAATTCAGTAAGTTGAGTAATGGTTTATTGTGTAAATTCTATTTCAAACTGATTATTATTAAGAATCCACAATAAAGGAACATCATTGAATCATTAGCATTTACAAATAACAAATAAATATTTGTGATTCTTTATTCACACTATAGTAAAACAGTGAAATTGATGACGTAGCAATTACCTGTGATGACGTAAACGATATTTGCAAGCGTCATCGTTTATGGATCTTCACCGTCACATGTATCAGATTGACATGTGTATTTCGTCTTTTCATGATTTTCTTCTGACTCAAACTTCTTCAACTTTTCTGTCGAAAATAAAATAACGAACTAAATACAATGAAGATCCTGCTTGTAATTTAGAGTGAGCCCGTTGCTAATTCATGTGTTATCCATACGGTAATTGACTTTTAATCTTTATCTTGGTATAGTTGGTCTGATGTCACTATCAACAATGATTAGAAGCCGCCACAATACTTAATTTATTTATAAGCTATGAAATACTTGTATCTAGGGCTGAAATACTGTATGAACCACTTTCCAACCCGTCAACAGTGCAAGGTGGGGTACCGAAGTATGGCCAGCCGCGGAGGTCGGTCAGCGTGTGTTCGAGTGAAGTCGCTGTGTTCAAATCGCCATCCCCTGGTTAATCGTTTATCATAGTAACTAGAAATTATCAAAAAATATGTTAAAAAAGAACCACTAACCTTCAACTTCTACTATTTTTGGAAAAATATCATTAAAGAAGCTACACTCCTTCGGCTTCAAGAAGTTGCCATTGCGCATGCTCGTTGAAATCTCCTTATATTCGTGGTCAGAAAGAGAAAACTTTGGCCACTCTGGATAGGATGAGACAAAATCACTGTCACCGCCAGAGTTATTGGGATCTCTGATGACGGATAAAATAAATATTTTCTTTAATAAATATAAACAAAGAATATTCAAAAATACTGTAGCACTTTACGTTTAATGTTAATAATTATACAATCGTTGATGCAAGAATGTGGCGACTCTGTTGCCAGTGAAAGTCGTTTTATTATAGAGCAGATTAATGTTATGTTGGTAATATATATGTGGTTCTATTTTGTAATAACCCTGCCAAATAAGTATTGAGTTTAAATCTAAATATTTTAAGTAAAGTAAAAACATTGCTATTTGTTGAAAACACTGAATAATATAAATATTTTGAGTTAGTTAAATGAAAATAAAAACATCAGCCTACCCTGTCTTGGCAAAATTTGTCCAATACGATAACATGGCATGGGTTAATCGAATTTCCTCGTCGGGGAGTAGCCCGTAAAGTATGCCTTTAAGTTCTTCATTGTAGTGCATCCCAAATACGTATATTAAATCGTCGCCATGAGCGGCTCCAAGTCCTGTCATATTCCAAAAAGAACGTGAAGGTACGTGAGTCATGTGATACAGAAACACGTTTTTCCCCGCATCGGTAAGTTGTTGTGCCGTCTTCGTCGTTGGGCACACGAAAAACATATCACCTATCAGTTGATTGGTACTGTTCGTATGGTCGGATTCTGGGTGTGTTATCTGCTCATCAGTTAGATAAAATAAAATGGTAGTTTCCCTTGCTAGTTCGGTTTTGAGTTGCAAAAACAGCATTGTACTGGCCCACATTTCCATATGGGTGCGATTGAATATATCACCTTGTTTAAAGAATTTGACGAACAATGAGCCTTCATCGGCGAGACTTCCCAACATGACGTCCACGTCGTTAATTGCGTCCGCGTCGTCGAGAAGAACACTTGGATCATCTAGCATGAACTGGCCATCAGAGTTTGGGGAAAATGCATTTGTGAGAGGGCTTTCCCCATTCTCAATCGCTGTCTATATAGAGTGAAAGTATTAGAAGATATGCATTGTGATAAATAAATATGTAACATGATTTCTGAACGAGTTAATATAGGTATCTCCCAAATGAATAATGACAGCCTCAAAGCAGCTATTTGGCCTACTGTATTCAAATTCAAAATGATATTCTTATTGCTAACACAGGCCTAAAGAATGCGTGTTCATTCTTATTATGTTTAATATATCACTTGTATAAAGTTACCTTGTTGAAAGTTCCTAGCATTCAAAATTTAGATTTCAATACGATAGCGTTTCTACTACTGGTTAGGCTATTCAGTGTATCGCTAAGCTGTTAACCAACGACCTAATATGTTATTTAATTATATCTAGGCTAGAATACTCACATTAACTGAATAATTGGCAAACAGAGTTTCGCTGTCGATAGATTGAAGACATTTCACTAGTTCTTTGGTATTTGTCTGGTTACATCCCAGAGTTCTGCCAAACGCAAATGCCCTGGAACGCTGTAAATCTTTAGTGTCCTCTCCATTGTGGAAAGATGGAATAATTGTCCCACTCTATGCAAAGTAATACAAACAAGTTTTTGATACCCTTTATTACCTAAAACGTATGTCTGTTAAACTCAAGGATAATATTATTGACTCCAAGTACCGTAAACAAAAAACCTGGTAAATCGCATAATAAAACAGGAAAAAATTAAATATTTTAACAACGTTGAAAGGAAACAGGAAACATAAACACAACCCAAAATGCTGTGGAATGAACTTAATCCGTTTATTGGAAAAGGAATATATAATACTATACACGAGGATATGAACGAATTAAATGATTTTTGTTTTACTAATATAGGAACACATTTAATGAACACTTGCCTACCTGGCGAAATCCACAGTATGAATACTTATTTTTATTTAATGAAATCCAGGAGGAAAGTATTTGAAACCGTCATGATAAGCTTCAAGAAAGTAGTAACATTGACATTCTTGATTTAGATAGTAAATTATACTATGGATTATATTATACTGTGATTGTAGTGTAGGCCTATATTATTCGATTTCCACTAAGCCATATGCAGTATTGATAGTATGAATTTGCACAGTAGAGGTGCAATAGTAAATAAAATGAAACTCTTCAAACCTGCATAATGGCGCGATGAAATAGACCTTTACTCATCGGAGATACGGTATGGTATGTGACTGACATGGATCCGGCACTTTCGCCATAGATCGTAACCATTTCTGGGTCCCCTCCAAATTCTGAAATTTAGATATTACTAACTTAGATAATTTACTTATATAGGCCTATAAGCAGAATATTTTACGATCTAATGTTAAATAAAATCTCACTCACCGGCTATGTTATCATGAACCCATTGCAGAGCTAATGTTTGATCCTTTAACCCCATGTTACCGGAAACAACGTCATCACCTGTCATCAACAAAGAAAACTTACAGGTTTTATGTTGTCAAAATAATAAAATATTGTGAAATATAACAACTAAATAAAACACTGCTCATACATTAAATTACCTACAATGAACCAATATATTGTTATTTCTTCCTGACTCTGGAACAAGAAGATGAAAATATTGGATTGGATTTTATCGGTGTAAACACCAAAGGATTAACCCACGAAACTCTGGAGAAGGCTTATTTCCAGTGGGGTCCTTCTGTGGTGATTGGGCAGCACACAGGGAGACAATCCCCTTCTCTTTTCCAAAAAGTGTACTGCGTTCTTTAACGTGCATGTGGGCCATAATGCGCAAGGGACCAGCGGCTTAAACGTCTCATCCGAAAGACGATGCGCTATTTTCAACTTGCTTTCAGCCCTTCAGCTGAAATACAAGGAGAGCAGAGATGGGAACCTGATCGACCTGAATTAGATTCTTGCCTTGTGATATGATATGAAAAATAAAATTAGGTCTACCCATTTTTTTTTTTCGAAATGAACAATCCATCTTCGTTCAACGAATGAAAACATTTTATTTGGTAGACGTGTGCATTGAATGCAGCAGAAATTAGAAATGAAGGCAAATAACATGATGACTGAAAAATAAAAAATAAATAGCTTTTTCATTAAATGATATGAACATCCAATGCCACATGATAGGCCTATACGTCTATTTGAATGACAAGGATGTATTTAAATATGTTAACAAATATACCTAGTTTGTTATTTTAATTTTTTTTTAAATATAATTTAGAGAAAATAAGATAATACTCAACGTACGCTTATAACAACGTACGGTGACAACCCACCTGTAGAGAAAAAGCCGAAGACGTTCAACCGGTAATTAATGTTAACAACTATGACGTCACCGACGGCTACCATTGGTACCTGCGTCAAGTTACCAGATGTTCCAATACCAATTGCAAACCCACCACCGTGTATGAAGACCATCACGGGAGCCTTAACTGGCTATATTTAATGGAAAAATAAATAATTAAAAAAATGTAGTAGTAGGCCTAGTGATAGACCTACTACTAGATCTCTACTACTAATAATTAAAATTATAATAATAATAATAATAATAATAATTATTATTATTATTATTATTATTATTATTATTATAAAAAAATAACATAGGCTTATGATAATCAGATAGCGTAATGTGTTTTGGCATGATTATAAAATCATACTGTGGCAACAGTGTAAAATTGGCATAAAATAATTTACATGTACAGTATTCGGTATCAGTTTGCTTTATGATTCAATGTTTGTGTAGGACTTAACATTGCTGATAGGGTCAAAAACAGTCACTAAGTCCCTGTGAAGGTTATTACCTAATAAGGTAGTCCTAAATTATACTAA